GGGCGGTGGGGGAGCAGCGCGGCAGCGGCAGGGGGGTGCTGCGCCTCTGCTTTGGCAAAGCCTCAGAGGTGCGGGCCCCCGCCGCGGCTGCGGCTTCAGTCCCGGTGCCCCTGGTCTGCTGAGGACCGTCTCCAGCAGACCAGGGGCACCGGGAGCAGCTTTTCTCGCCCCGGAGGTCGAGGTGGCGGATCGCTGCCTGTGAGCTCCGGGGCGAGAAAGCCCCGTTCGTAAGTGCGGATCCGACATAAGTCGGATCCGCGTAAGTCGGGGACTGCCTGTACAACAAATCATAAAGGACTGTCCTTAGATCTCCCCTCTGTCTAAGTCCCACTGTCAAAGGAAGCGAGACTGACATTGAAAGATGTACAAGTACACAAAAAACTGCTGCTAGTCAAGAGTCATCAATTTTATTAACCAACTTCAGGGCTCCCTGGTGTTATAAGAAGTGGGCAGTCATTCATGTATGTAGCCTGACCTCTGAGATATGTAGAGTGCTGAAGTTGAAAAGTTTATTTGATCCCGTGTGTTCATGCCTGGAATGTACTACCCCCTTGCAGTGAGTCAGAGAAGCCATCAGGTGACTTTTGCTCACTGGCACGGGGTGGGTTCTGGTTACACTCAGACTGATTCACATGAGAAAAACAAGTCACCTTCAAAAACAGAAAACTAACCACTCTACTGAGCAAGTTGTGGCTGTGTTTCTCAATAGGTATAAACTGACATCATCAGTTCAAAGAGGGAAACTGCTGCACTGATGCATAAGAGCGTTGCAATAGGATTTCCTAATGAGTTAATTTGGTTAGTGTCTGGGCAGGCAGCACCATTTTAGTAGCACATGATGCTGCTTCAGAAAGTTAAAATAGATTCCCTGGTGCTGACGAAAGGTGGGGGGAAAGGGAGAGGGTCATCATTAAACTGTTTGGGCCAGAACAAAATGTGCCCTGAAACAGTGCAGCACAAGTTTGGAGGAGGAAGAAAGGTGATAAAAAGTTACATCTTTCTGCCCCTCCAGTTTCTACGACTATCAGGAGATGGTTCAGTCCAGGGCATTCGTTAAAGTGTGGACTTTAACTTACACTGGCTTGTAATAGCCTCTGAGCAGTTATATTGGTGAACCTTGGCCATTATACAGGCAGAGTTCACCAGAGCACAGCAAATGGATTTCTCCATGCCAAGAGAAGCCCCAGCTGCCCAGTAGGACTAACATGACAGAACGATAGGGTTAGGACCAGGCCATTACTAAAGCTGATAAGCACTGCAAATGATTGACAAGAAATCAGATATACACTGATAAAATGGGCGAACGATAAAAAGTTATTTTACAAGGGTAGATGCATGGGAGTGAGTTTCTCCTTGGGTTTTCTAAGCAGATGGGAGCACAAACACAGCAAATTGAGGTGCATATGCCTGTCTTATTCTAAATCCCACAAAATTGTAGAACACTAGAACTGGAAGGACTTCAAGAGGTCATCGAGTCGAGTCCCTTGCCCTCACAACATCATGCATCATCTAGATTATCCCTGATAGACATCTATCCAACCTGCTCTTAAACATCTCCAGGGATGGAGGTTCCACAACATCCCTAGGCAATTTATTCCAGTGTTTAATCACCCTGATAGTTAGGAAGTTTTTATTAATGTCCAACCTAAACCTCCCTTGCTGCAAATTGCTTCTTTGCCTATCATCAGAGGACAAGAGAACAATTTTTCTCCCTGCTCCTTTTAACACCCTTTTGCTTGAAAACTGCTATCATGTCCCCTCTCAGTCTTATCTTTCCTAAACTAAACAAGCCCATTTATTGCAGTCTTCCCTGATAGTCAAGTTTTCTAGACCTTTAATCATTTTTGTTGCTCTTCTCTGGACCTTCTCTAGTTTCTCCACATCTTTCTTGAAATGTTGTACCTAGAACTGGCCACAATACTCCAAGGCTGTGTCTATACTGGGCCACTTATTCCGGAAAATCAGCCGCTTTTCCGGAATAAGCTGCGAGCTGTCTACACTGGCCCTTGAATTTCCGGAAAAGCAACAATGCTCTACTGTACAAAATCAGCCGCTATTCCGGAAAAACTATTCTGCTCCCGCTCGGGCATAAGTCCTTATTCCGGAACACTGTTCCGGAAAAGGGCCAGTGTAGACAGCCCAGTAGTCTTTTCCGGAAAAAGCCCTGATCACGAAAATGACGCTTGAGGCTCTTTTCCAAAAAAGTACGTCTACATTGGCCACGGACGCTTTTCCGGAAAAAGGGCTTTTCCGGAAAAGCAGCCTGCCAATGTAGACGCTCCTTTTCTGGAAATACTTATAACAAAAACTATTCTGTTTTAAGCATTTCCGGAAATTCATGCCAGTGTAGACACAGCCCAACTGAGGCCTAATCAGGGTAGAGTAGAGTGGAAGAATGACTTCTCGTGTCTTGCTCACAACGCTCCTGTTAATGTCACTATAACAATAAGTCATATCCGAATGACAGATTAGACTAAATCTTGGATTCCCTGGGTGGGGAAATGTACAAGGGATGACTGCATTGGCTTCTCCAACCCTCCAGGGATATATGGGTAACAGATTTCAGTTGAACTGGCTTCACCAGCACAACTCCCTTCCATTTGCCCAACTGTATAATGAAAAACCTCTGTTGAGCCCTATGTGTTTTAACAGAAGTTGGATCATAGTCTTGGTTTTCAACCTGTAGCCCACCCGCCATGTGTGGCCAATCAACAGAAATCTGCAGCTCATGTGACATCCTAAGGGTCTTACAGGTAGTATTGGATATTAAATTAGTTGAGAACCACTGTATCAGACCCTTAGAGCGGATCACGGGGGCTAACAGCTGGGGAAAGCAGGGGAGAATAGCTCTTTCTAGACCCAAGCTGCC